TATTTACGAATCCAGACCGTACCGCGAAGAAAACACTTCACTTAACCATTAGAAGTCGAATCAGGCGGTACCACATAAGATTTAACAAAAGAACATCCCGGTCAAAGCCACCAACGAGTCTTTAGTCGGCCATCGTCGGTGGTTCTAGTTAAACTATCAGAAGGTTACTCACGAGATTTTGTTTTAAGTTGCACCAAAAGAATATAAAACGCGATGTTGTAGCTTACTTACTCACTCCGTAGAGCCGAGTTCCTCCTGCAAAGCCAGCAGTTGCTAAACTACTCAACAGATTCCCAAGATTCATTATCGTGATTACAAGACACAGCTTTACAGTCTATAGTTGTTATAGGCGTACCATAAACTCAAAATTGTTATTATTAATACAAGAATGCTTGGGGCCCGAAAGTTTAAACTATTTATGCTCTCGATTGTAGAAAAATCTTACCTAGTAGGATGAAGAGCCGTATGAATGTGGTGGCGCTGATTGTTGCCATGTTTGTCAACGATGATTATCCGCACTTCTGACAATGAACGCTCACAGCGAGCCAGCGTCATGACACATTTATCATTGACCCAGTCGGCCGTCGTTCAAACGGAAACCGACTTCAAAATGATGAAATCGATTACTCCTTTGTCGTTGTCTGGGTCACTGTGGATACTGTCACGTCACAATCCTCACGTCCTCGATGAATATCACCACAAATGGACGCGACAAGCTGGAACATATGTTCCGTTCAGTCGCTACTTCCAACAATGACGATAACACGGACAAATCTTGAGTCTGCTGTCATTGTTGCGTGTTCTTCTGTGTCGAGATTTATTTTAACAGGTACGCGGAACGTATTTAGAGACGCGAATTTAATTATTTTAAAAAAAGTCACAGCACAACACTCGCATATCAGAAACTCACTCGCAGTGTTGCACATCCTCACTCACATGACCATTGTGCTTATCTCAGTATCGCCTGTCACGTGACATGCGAGGCAGATAATCGCGTGTTGTGACCTCACAACATGCCCTGGAATGGAGGACACATCACTCGATAAAAATAAGAAATGAGAAATACGAAGTAAAACCACTTCAAAGCTGCTGCATTTATTGCAGGCTTAAAATAGTGGAATCTTTGGAAAAATGAAGACTTTGTTGATACTCATTTTATTTACAATTAGTGGAAACTATTGATTTTAATCGTGTCTGCGTGTCGCATTTTTCTTCCAATCCACACGTTTGTCGCGTTTTCAGTTCGTGAATTCGGAAGTAAAACGTGGGGAAAATAGTACGAAATTTTGTACATTACGCGATCAATTTTTTTGGAACGTTCCTTAAATGGCACCGAGGTTTTAAGAGAACGTTCTAATGCGAACTGTCACCCATAAATATTACTTACAGAAATCAGTCGTTTTATGTGAATACCCCGTTTGTGAGAATGGAGTTTTAATCGGATGTCCCTCCAGGAACCCGATGGGTTGAGGAGCTATGTTGCAAGAAACACGTTTTGCAAAATTATTAGGCGGTAACTTTTTTTAATTTATATTTTATGTAAAATTACACTAGCTCGCAAAATTTCCCGTCAACGTCTGACGGTGTGCAACATTTCGTAACGTGAGTTTTTGTTTGTTTGTTTTTCTACGATGCCCTGCACAGCCCCCAAGCTGGAGAACCACCCATTTTCGGCTGTGAGCTACTGCTTATTCGGTATATCCGCAGCAGCCCTCCATATCTGAAGGCTCTCTCTTCCATCCTCAACTTGAAGACCCGAAACAGACGACACACGTGGGCAGAAAAGGTGTCATCGTTTCAGTATTTACGACGGGGAACGGCGATCATGCAAGCGTTTCATCGCACCTGGCTTCCTAGCGCGCCAGGAACACCGAGGTCGTGGGGAAAAAGTTTATTGATCACAGTATTGCTTCTTTATGCGGGTGGAATCCTGATGCTTCCCCAGGGCATAAGGCGGGGAATCACTTGTTCGCACGAAGAAAATGCCTCTGGTACTGGAACAGAAATCAATAGACGACGTTGAATTAGTAATGAGGCAGTTGTCTGTTTCTACAGCTGGGTTAGGAACCAATGTACAATACATTTTTTAAAAGTTATTGGAGTTACACGCACAATAATCTGTAAAAACAGGCATATTCGTGCGTGCTCATGTTAAATTTATAACCCATTTCCGTTAGTGACAATTTATTAACAGAAGTTTTGTTCCATTTAGAAATATTTCAGTGTTGATTCGAAATTATTTTAATTTAAGTCATTCCGTTTCCCTTGCCCAAATTTTATCAAACAAAAGTAATTCCAAGATTGTTTGGCAGGTTTACCTAACCTCGAAATGCCGTATCTTAAGAAAGCTAATCTGTTTATCGTGTCATTGTCTCCGCATTATTAATAGAACATTGCAAAACGTGGTAATTATAACAAGAATTGTGTTAGGGCATAAACCTTGTATCCAACAAGACGACAAACCATAACACTGTAAAAGAAATGGTCATTACAAAGGCTACCACAAGACACGTAATTGAAAACGCAGACTTTAATAACCCTCTGAAGCACGAAGCTCGTCTAATTAATATATAAGAATTCAGTCCGTACCGCGAAGAAAACACCACGCTTTACCATTACAAAGATCAACTGGTTAACCCTATGAAGCCGAAGCTCGTATAAATATTACGTAAGAATTCAGTCCGTACCGCGAAGAAAACACAACGCTTCACCATTACAAAGATCAAATGGTTAACGCTGTTTAAGGAAATAATCGCTGTTTAGATTAAGAATCACACGAAACACGTAAATACAAAATTCAAAGTTATTGATTGTTTGTTCACGTAGTACATTTAATTTCCGCTGGGTTCAAAGCAGTTCTTCCGTACTTACGTGCTGCTGCACTGCTCGCCCATCAGTGTGTCGAGGTCGTCCCGCGCCGTGTCTCCAGGGCACCAGCCCAGGACGTAGTGCCAGTAGCTGGGACACGCCTGTCCCCAGAAGCCCTCTTCAGACGCCACGGATTCTGCGAAGTAAACCGGCGCGAGAAGATGGCTGCAAAGCGGCGCATCTGCAACGTTTTACCGCATCGACGCTCAGAAGTTGCTTCATCCGAACAAATGAAGGCCACCGTAGGTCATTAGGTGGGATTTCAATATGACTGTAATAATGTGATAGAGCCTGACCGACGTTTCAGAGGTACTGCCTCCATCGTTAGAAAATTAAAAAAAAGTACGAGATTGCAGTGGCGTTAAATGACACGGCGTTTGCACGTAATTTTATAGAAATCGGTCAGATGTCTCAATAATCAAGTTATGTTAAATCCAAAAAAATGAAAAATATGCCGAAAGCTAAACATTGGTTTAATATAAATGCCGGTAGAAGAATAATCTTCATATAGGGACTATCCTCCTGAATTAGATAATGCCAAGTGACGGCCTGACTCGGTCGCATGAGCCTCGTTTGTTAGGTGTAACTCACTCTTGTGTCCGGCGCATGCAGGTTGAAAGGTGCCGCCGTTCACGAAGAAGTCTGCGTGTCCGGACACCTCAATCTTTCCGAAAATACCGACGTTTGTGTGTACGACGTCCACGAAGTCTGCGTCGCTGGGGTCGAGCTTCCAGGCGTCGTTCAGCGTAGCGAACAGGGGCAGGGCAGGGTCCAACCCTGTGAGACGTGGACAGGCAAAGGAGATTCCTCTTAACTTACGCGTGTCCCTCGAAATCACCCACTTGAGATTTCACGTTTTCACGGCGACGAGTGTGAATATGGCTGTCTTCTGGGATATTGCGCCGAATAATGTGGTAGAAATTGACTGACGTTTTAGGGGTACTTACTGCCTTCATCATCAGGGCGATCATCGTCTAGGCCAGGGACCCGCTAAGATCACAGACTGGTCAATCACTGTATCCGGCCTGCTTTCATAAATTGGCTACCCTGGCACACGTGGCTGTGGCGACACGTGTCAGCTTGTTCACCTTTGCATGTAGCTGGACCGCCAAGGACAGGGACCAGCTAGCTCTCGCCTCTGTCCGCTGCCGAAATTTAGAATGAGCGAGGACGTACCTGTTATCCTGCCCAGGCGGGTCCCCGTCATCGCCTGCATCCCTTTGCTGGTCAGGGCGGCCACGTGCGCACCGAGACTGAAGCCAACGACGTGTACGGTGGCCGGGTGTAGCGAGTACTTCGTCGCGAGGCCGAAGAGCAATCGCGCTGTGCACGACCCCACCTGCAGCAAGTTGAATATCGCGGCGAAGTAGCAGGGGTACGTCGCAAGGGGACCCCAGTCCACTACGATGACATTGCTTCCTCCGCGGTTCAAGTAGGCTGGTTTAAGATCACAAAATACAGCCTGTGTTAACCTTGCGGTCGGAAGTTTACAGAAATCTGCATATTAGTTTCGCCATGTCTGTCCGCTTGTAAGGTACTCGAATACTGAAAGGATTTTCGGGAATTTGGATGTTGGGTTAGCGCCTTACCTCGCCTGATGACTGCCGTGCTGTTGAAATCGGCGTTACCGGCGTACCCGTGGATAAGAACCTTTGTGTCCAAGTTTGGATTGAAGGTGCCGGGTGGAGGCCTTGGGTCATTCGCCCTCAGGAGGATGGGCTCACTGCTGCTATCCGCCCCCCTGCAACAGTTCAGCCGGGCGATCGCAATGTATTTTTCGATGGTTTAGCCGGATTTTAGGGTAGCCGTAGATGGCATGACGCCCTTAACAGATTTCATGAAAATCCGTCCAGCGGCTTTCGAGTTTAATTACACAGACGTACGTGGTCAGACATTTCGGCTGGTGTTCAGGTGCTGTACTTACTCTGCGTAAAGCAGGAAGCGGACCTCGTTGTCGTCACAAGGCTCCTTCACCTGCAGGATGCATTGTCCGAGGGTCCACTCCAGTCTCCCAGTCGATTGGTCCACATTTCGAGAACACGCGATCTGCAGACCTAGTTTCAAAATGCATTGCTTTATTGCACTTCGAAGTTTATTTGCATTTAAGCTAATTTGATGCAAAAGTACGGTATAAGCTTTTCCGCAGTTTCGGAGTCTCTCGCAACTTTTACGAGTGTTGTGAATTTATTTTATTTCTGTAAGATTTTCGGCCAATTGAAGTTATTAATAGAATTCTAGGACGAATATCGATAACAGAATCGCGTATTCTACGATACTAGATCGATTCTACGTAGTCTAAGCTACCGACAGCGTCGTTAAATAAGCGTTAGTTAAGTGAGAATGTGAGATCTGAGATTCTCACGACAAGATGTCGACGTCGGGCCTTTGTGCTTGCAGCGCCATGAGGACTTTCAGTTGCATACTAGAGTTTTGGAGGAACATACTGCCTCCATCTTCGGACGTTAACCCCCAGAAGTTTAACATCGACAAACAAAATAATTTATTTAAATTTCTTGGGAGTCGGTCGATGTAGGGAGCTGTTCTATCTCTCACAGAGATGGCTTTTTTTTTTTTGGCAAAATTGTGGTCGTGTCGGAGAATTATCCAGGTGAAAAGAGTTAGCTTACCTGGTAACAGGAGGATGTACCACGCGATTCCCATAGGTCCCATTGCGGTGAAATTACCTACCACCACAGTCTTGAACAAGTGTACGCATCAGACTACTCTGTTAGCCGAGGTGCGTCGTGTTTGGAGTCACGCGTTGTTCATCACTGCAGGCGAAATATCGCATTGCCCGAATCAGGTTGAGGAACTGGCTAATTTGCGTCGTGTGTAGACGCAGAGGAAATTAAGATACGCGGGAACATGCATGGATTGAGCCAGTCTTGCACAAACGATGCGGAATTGGAGTTCACGTGTTCTCCAAACGCGTTATTTGATGTTCCGATTGTCCATTTGCCTCGTTGTTAATGCACTGCAGATACAGATATTTCGTTTCAAAGTTAATACCAGTACGCACTCAGCAATTACACGTTACAAATGTTATTTGTAGAGCTTCATTAAGTCTCGTGTGCCAATTTCTTGCAGCCTGGACGGCGTAAGACTTAATACGCTATTAGAATTTTAAGCAGCGTGGCAGGTTAAGAGATGTTCTTGTGACACCGTGTGGATTCGTAGGCAGAGATACCATCGTTTCGGAGAATCGTGCGGTCTCCATCTGTAGGGCTGAAGTAGGCTGATCAAACTGACAAGTAATGATACGGGACTATTGATGTTGTCAGCTGCATACAAAATTGTATCCAGCTTTCCTTTAAAGGTCAACTTCATGCCTAGACGAAATTATTTGGATTTTGACGAGGTAGATCAGCGTTATGGATGCCGGTTTTAGTTGAATCTAAATTAATGTTCTAGACGTTTCGGCACAATTCTGGAGACAGCATGAAAAGGCAGTGGTAATGAGGCGCACTGCTTCGTTTGTTTCCTGAAATACGTGCCAGCGCGTTACAGCACGTTCTGGCCAGTGTCGTGTCTACAGGCGGCCACCTTACAGCCTGTGGTTGCCGCTGTCGTTAGGAACAGAAATGTGGTCAGCAGGCCATCCTGGCGATACGTCGAGAGTTGTCCGCTAATTGGAACTGTAATGAACGGAGACACGTTTGTGGGCCGTAAGACGCTTCATTCGAAATCCGCTTCCGAGACGAGGGACACTGAACCAAGTCGAAATTCACACCAGTCTAACTTGCATTTTAACTTCCTCAATTTTATCAGTCAAATCACAATAAAATATTATTATTAAATGTTAAAATATTACAATTAACATTTAAAATATATTAAAATGATGCTCTCTATCGAATATTTCGATTTACATTAGAGCATCATCTTTTACACTACATGTTTCGGTTCTAAATGAACCACCTTCAGGTGTATGATCCATATAAACTCAAATGTAATATCCTAAGTGCAATTCTTCGTCAGATGTCCATTTTAATATTATCTTCCCATTTAGATGAAGCCATAGTGCTCTCAGATGTGTCATATGATCATCTTGGACTTATTCTAAAGTAGCACGCTCAGTTAGTGCACGTGCGTGAAACAGTGTCCACGTGGATTGCCCAGTTGACGTCACGTGAGAAGAATCGGACACAAAAGAAATACTGGTCGCTTTAACCAGCTCCTTGGCACTTGTCTTACTCACCCCAGCTGCAGATTACCACGAAGAATATCCACATTAGGGCCACGATCGACTCAGGCTCCACCTGCAACGACTGCCCCGAGACAATAATCTCGCACCTTTTATGGAATCTCTAAGGACGCTCTGGAATTAGCGCTTCTCATTGGCCGAATTCCATGCCCTTGTACGGAGGACACGCGTATTCCTTGTTCAACCTCGCACTATGACCCTTTGAACGCCGATGCACTCGGCTGCAGTGATCTTTGGTAGTGCATCGTCGCTCCACACCGGATGTGGGACGACTACGATTAATGTTATCATGGTGAAAAGGTGTACCAGCATAAGAGTACGTCTTGGGAATCACAGTGGTCAAATGTCCTCAAATATTTATTTTCGTCTAAGAGAATTAAGTGGTTAATTATAATAATTGTAACATTATGTGCCAGTCTTATTCATAGTCTTTATACTTTTAGAACCAAACTACAGTAACCAAAGGCTACTCAAGAATATGCATTTTCCATGCCGTAATGTCGACGCCTTTCTTAATTTTAGGTCAGTATGTTACATCAAGAATCATTTTCCTGAGTGGCAACTTCATTTACGAGGTAGATTTGTTCCCTCTTCTCACTGAAATTTTAAATTTGCCTTAATTGCCGAAATAGGTTACCAAGTTTCACAGGAACGTGACCGTCGGATTTTTCGTTTTAATTTGTGTGGAAAATGTTTTCGCTTTACGTGGATTTTTCTTTTCAGGAGCACATCCATATAGGCCCTTATTGGAAGACAACGACCAAGAAGTGGATCGCTTAGTTGGCTGTCTTTGCTGAAATGCATTAAACAGTTTCGTATTTGCATGCGACGCTCGGCGTCTCTGAAGTAACACACATCCGATGTTCATTAGATCCATCTGTGACTGCAACATCTGACGTCTCCGACGGCCCCAGCTGCTGCAGGGCAAAATGGCTCGTCCTCGTTGGACACGCAGAAGGTCCCTGTGGCTCTGTTTTGGAGCATGAAAAAAAAAAAAAGAATTAAGACGAATCAGTTCAGGCTAAATCTTATTTTACTCTTAATATTATAAGTCGGCGCAGAAGGGAAGTGAGCTTTTGTGAGTTTCGCTTACCTGTCCGGGGTGTGCTGCCCCATCACAACGGGCTCACCCATCCCCGTATAAGCGTCTGGACGCCTGGAGCCGCTGAGACAACGTCGGCTGCTGCAAGGGACAGCGACGCGAGCCGTCGCGGGATTGACGCTCTCCGCCATGTAACACACTGCCGTCACGTGACTGCACAGCGCCACGTCTGCAAGTTGAGGCGGGAATTACGGCACTCAGACTGCAGGAAGCCTGTCTTTCTGGGGGACAGCTCGCTTTTCACCGCTAAAGCAAGTCATTTATGAGGCGAGCGTGCGTACATACTTGTTTTATTGAAGCAGGTGGGCTGCACTCTACCGCCGTTCACACAGAAGTCGACGGTGCCCAGGCGGCCGGCCTCGCCGAATTGGCCGGCATTCGTGTGGATCACCTGCACCACGTTGGCGTCCACGTCTCTCAGTTTGTTGGCGCCCCAAACAAGAGGACGCGCCGGGTCCAGGGCTGAAATGGAAGTACCATATTCAGTGTGGATCCTGGGCCGTTCTCAGCTCGAGGCCCCCATAACATGATAATATTAAAAATTGTATTTAATTACTGCGCCCTGAAGAGCCACGTGCCTATGATCCTGTGCATCCTGAAGAAGAGGTTCAGGGATGCCAACCCGCACACGTGCGCCCCCAGACTGTGGCCGACGCACGTCGTCCTGTGCAGCAAGACGCCGCTGTCCCTCAGGAAGGTGAACAGATGCGACACACATCGTGCCACGGGCTTCATGTTGTGCACGGCTGCAGCATAGCACGGCGGCTGGCAGAGGGACCCCCAGTCCACGGTGAACACGTTGTATCGGCCATTGGACAGGTACGCTGAACATCGGATTCATAGTTGACACTTAACCAGCGTGACGGACAATTGAAAATATTTGGGTATCACCCCGATCCGTGTCTCTGATAGAAGTGAGCCTTCCTGGCAGTGTAAAACAACGGTTTAGTGGAGGTAACTCCCGAAACGTCGCTTATTCCAGATTCTCTCCCTTTACGGCTACAAGGTGACCGCGTTGCTTATCCTAGCCTGTCTGTGCGATCAGCGTTCACAGTAGACGAGGAAATTTTGGATATGACGAAGTGTTCCAGAAAATCGGCGGCCTTTGTGGGGTCCCACGTCTATTTTATTCAGAAATTACAGCAGCGAAGAACATGCGGCCGAGTCCATGTCGTAGGATTCGCAATTTTAGTCAAGTTTCCGTTTGAGTAGTCTTGGAAGACATTTTGGGGGGGGGGGGGGACTGGTTTTGTCAGGAATGGTTTCCAGGGCGATTAAGGTCAAGTTCGTCGCCTTTGTGAATACTTACACTCGCGTTCCCAAGAGAATTCTGAAAATAGAAATGAAATATCCTACGGTGCTACGGCCGAGAATACCCGGATCTGAACTCGAGCTGCCAGGACAGCGTGGACTCTGCAGGAACGCACGAAATTCACCCGGGTTTCGTGCGGCACACGCTGTATGGCAAAGCTTACCGTCGCGTAGCACGACCATGGGGAAGGAGCCTTCCTGGCCGCCGTAGCCGTGGATCAGGATGACGGTGTCGTGGTGGGGGTTCCATCCATTGGTCCTCAGCCAATCAGCAGCCCCCATGTCCACCCATTTTCTGATGGTTGACCCCGGGCTGAAGCAGAGGGAACGTGTCGAGTGTTCAAGACAAGTCCATTGCACTCAGTGCACAATTGTGGATGAAACACGTCGAGAGTTTTTTTTACACCGCCCTGAAGATGGCAACCGCATTGTTTGCCTAAACGTAGGATAATTTCCATCGTCCGACGTGGCTCATCCCCGAAAGCTGAATTTCTACGTAATTTATAATCATCTGTAACATTTATAATTGCATGCAGTCGAAGAATTCTTAATTGGGCAGGGTTCGGGCGTGTGCCCATGTATTCAGGTGCAGTCTACGTGAACTCCCGACTACCAAATACGTCAGACACGCGATCGTCTAATTTCCGGTTTCCTGTTCGCTGTGGACGAACAGTGAGCGTCTTTGCCCTGATTCAGAACGCACGCCGAGGTTCAGTCAGGACGTATAACCTCAAATACTGCTGAATTTATTTCTATTAAATTTGGTATCAGAGTCTGTGCTCTCACTTATCGGGCGAATTTAACTTTGGCACTGTGATTGAACTTCATTAATTGTCTCAGCAGCGGAGTGTCGTGGAAATTATTGATTCATGATAATGACAATACAGAGATTATTGATACACACAGATTTTCGTGGGTGTTTTTGATGTGGTTTCGAAGAAAAATGCGTGACTAGGGAAAATAATTGATGAACAGGATTCTGTGGCATGATCAGCAGATTCGCCTCGGAGCACTTGTTTCATGTCCACTTGCCTGGAGTAGAAGTAATACTGGACGTCAGGGTCAGGGCACGCGTCCCTGTCGTTGCCCCTGCGCCAAACGCAGTCCCGCGTCGCATTTGTCACGTTGCCTATTTGCAGCGCCTGAGAAATCAGCCCTTGAGCCAGGCAACCTGCAACACACAGCGCACAGTAAAGTTCCGAAAGGACATCATAGAAGCGGAACTGGGTGTTGCGTCCAGCAAGTTCGAGTGGGAAAATTTACAGTTTCAAGAGAAGCATTTTGTAATGTAAATGGTCCGCAGTTCGACACGGCTGGACTAGATGTCGTGAATTCATTCGAAAACATTTTCGATATAGCTCTTGTGCAGCACCGTGAGATGAAAGAGAGTGCTTATTCAGCACTGACGGAAAAAGTTAAAACAATTGATCCCCAAGCTAACAAGGAAAATGAGTGTAGGGTTCTGGATACGATGATTACTACTGTGTGAAGTCCCTTCAAGGAATGAGGCTATTATTATTAGGTAATCTCTTGAAGGAAGGAGACCAGTTTTAGGTTTCGACGTAGTTTTTACCTTAGTGTTCGATCCCCTTTAGCGACCCTGAGTTAGCTGGAGTGTTGTATATGCATAGTAGTTAATAGGATATTATTATTGTAGGTAATATAATATTGTTGTATCAGGTAGTATGATGTTAGTTGCTAGTTGGAGCGTATGAATATTAAGTCTTGTATGTGAACACTTTTATCAAATTCTGTTACTTTGGACTTTCACCGATGCTATCCTCGTTTGATAATTGGGTTGTTGTTGAGAGGAATGACCTTGAAATATGAACAGTCTTCTTCCTAGCCTTATCAGGGGCAGCCGAACTTAATATTGCCCGCATTCGCAGTCAGATCCATGAATCTGGAAGGAGCCGACCGAAATTTTCAAACTTTCAATAAAATCGCATAGTTCACCAACGTTTGGGTCACAAATTCTGAAGAAACTGAATAATCTTGCGCTAATGTTAAGTTCACGCAGTGTCGGCTCTAATTGGCGTTGGTTTACTTACAACAGAGCAGTGAAAATACAATTACTCATTCATTTCCCGTGCGATCTAGAAAAATTCTTTGATCAGACGGCGAGTCGTATAAACTTTAGAGCAGAGCGCCCATACCTGGAAAGATGACTGCAGTCAGGAAGACGCTGACAGTGGAGGTCCCCAGCATGGCTGCCCGGCGTCCTGGTGTCAAGTGTCGGGTGAACTGATCGTGGCCACGGTCACACACCGAGTGTCGTCCCACACAGCAGAGTGGAAAAGCGACACAAGAACGCGGTTTCACTTTCCATGTGTTGATTTGTTGGCCAAGCCGTCCTGCGTATTACATCAGCAGCGTTGCCACGTGCGTTTTGAAAACCACAGGCACTGGCTTGATCTCGAAGTCGTATCGAGATCCACGATCGATGGCATGAGTGGGAGCTGGAAGACAGGGGTTTGATTCCTGTCAGGGGCAGGGAACTTACTTTTTGTCGCCTGTCCGATGATTACTGAGGGTAAGGCGACCATTTTGTGAAACTGATCTTTCGGCGACGTTAAGAATGCGTGGAGCCTTTGCAACAGGAAATATGTTACTTTTTTAGTGTTTAGTTTTACGAGTGTGTGTTTACGAATAATCAAAACACAGTTTTCTGAGTGCGTCAAATTTTATTAAAAGGCGATGTTATATAAGTTATGCTATAGCAAAATGCTCAAGAAATTCTGAAATCTCTTGGGTTTGATTGTCCACATCCCTTCAGATGTCATCTGTCTTTACGTGCTCTGTTTGTAGTAATTCAGCGTTTGGTCACGAACTGCGACAGCCTGTCTAAAAATTAATTCCTTGTTCTCTGCAATAAGGTGCAGTGATGCTGAATCACTTGAATCAGAATAAAATTACACACTGCTCAACCCTTTAAAGTCAAATGGTAACTATATGCACCATCTGCTTTAACATCAAGTGCCCCTGCATTTTGTATTTGTGTGGTTGTGATAAGCAGCAGTTCATTTGCGGTTTTTCCGAATTCTTAAATTCTATTTGGACTGACCTCGGCTTCAGACGCTTGGACCTAACAGCTTTACTGAGCGTGCGTAGCATTACTCCTTGTTATTCAGATGGAACCGAGTTTGAACCTCGACCCGGTGACTTGCTACCCTCACAGAAGTGTTGTGCTTTTCCTCAGTCCCTCCAGGCACACGCCAGGATTCTGCTTTAAATTAGACCACGACCACTTCTTGTCAGATCCTCTCTTGTTATTTTAACGTTCCAATTCATTATTTACTGGTCCTTCTGTAACTGTGCTGTAGAGTCTGAGTTACTGATAGCGTCATTAAACAAACAAACCATAGGCCTAAATATAATTCGGGCTGCCACGACTTCGAATCTCTTCCGCACCTCTTACATGCAATGACCGCCTCCTTCCAAACCCCTGCCTGTCCACTATTTATAAACAAATTCTAATGGCATTCGACGCTTTAAACTTGTAATCTCTGTCGTTGTGAGTGGCAGTTGTGTATCTCACATTCGTTTAAGAACAGATGTACGAGATTCAGTGTTTAACTCGTTGTCAGATGCAAGTTTCGAAGTCTGTAATTATGGTTGATATTCTCCAGGCGTTTCCACGGAACTCACAACTGCCGGCCGTCCCGTTAACTGGGCGCCCAGTGCTCGAAGCATTAGTGGACTAAGCGACCGAAAATTCCTTCCAATCGTTTTCGACGACGAGCTGTGAGCGTGTTCGCCTCGGCGTCTCCATCGGGAATATGTTCCTGGGTAAGTGCTGTTTAATCTGAGCATCATGCGAAACCCGTGTTTTACTCTGTGGGCAAATTGGACAGTTACTGAACGTTAAAGCAGGTGGTACGTATAGTTACCATTGCGCTGTGAAGGGTTAAACTATACACCTATATAATTTAATTTTCTGAGCTGTCTTCGTACGATTTCGTGTCGCACCTCGTTTGCACTTCCATCGAGTTCGGAGAACTTAGTTGCTTCCGCCGTCAAAAGTTGCGCTCCTGATGAGGGTTAGTCAAAGGGACAGTCACGCCCGTGCCTGAGAGTCACGCAATATGTCCCCGTTGCCCTGCAACCAGGCAACAAAACAAAACACTATCGGCATGCCCAACATTCGGAATGACATTGACAAAATTAAAGCTTTATGCATTCTGGTCGCTGTATGGAGGTGATGGCTTCACGCTCCGTCAGATTTGCTTAAGACTGGATACGCAGCGCCTGGAACATTGAAATCTTGGGTTCGAATTCCCCTTCAAACATTGGAATGTGTTCCCGTCTTGTCGCGTGTACGCAGAGGGCTTGCGAAGGGCCGATCCCCAGTCCAAGGAGTAGTGCACTTGGTCCTTAGGAAGGCCATGTTCATATCTGACCCCGGAGACCGTCCATCCTGACTAGGTCTTCCCTCCAGGATATAATAGCCCTGTATCGCATACTTGCACGCCCTGGACTCACCCTTCTGGTGTTTCTTCGCCCATCGGGACTGGAATCCCGGGCAGGAGGCCGACAGCGCGCCCCCTCCTGGGACAGACGGCGGTGCATGGGTACCCCATCGTCGTCTGCCTGGACACGGTGGCCGCGAAGTAGCAGGCGCTCTGGAAGTGACTGCACCTCGCCTGGCCTGTGGGCACACACCGCACATGAAGAAGCAGAGGCCGACGTTTCGTCAAATCAGATGTCGCTGCAGCGAATTCGGGATGTCTCCGCGTCAGATCTCGGTCGGTTACACTGACTGGGGAGTTTTGGGGTTCAGTGGTTATCTCGGTAACGTTCTGCGAAGGTTGGTCCATTGGCACTTATACTACGTTTTACCCTCAGACTGTAATCTTATGGGTTCCTTAATATTTTCAGAATAATCAGGGATTATTTTCCTAATCAGCATTAACCAATTGATATTTGCAATGGTGAAGAGTCGTGTTTACTTCGCGGTACGGGCTGAGTTCTTAAACATTATTTGTAGCCATAACCACAAAGACACTTCTTCAACTGTGGCAAGCAGTGATCCCTGCAGAATCACCACTGGTGAGCTCTGGGTCGTGGTACCCAGTCCGGATACCATACTTTAATCAATCTATTTGCAGCTCGCTGTGCCGGACACAGCGAAAGAGTGGAAGTTTTCGGGGTCATTCTAAAAGTAATACAGATTTAATTATGTGGCCAGTGCAGTTTCTGTTTGTGGGGCAATGAAAAAACGCTTACGGAGGCGGTGTCCCGTGCAGCCCGGTTGGAACTGCCCGTTGTTGACGCAGAAGTCCACGTGGCCAGCAGGGGCCTCCACTCCCAGGAAGCCGGCGTTGGTGTGAATAACTTGCACTATGTGGGCGTCGTCCCGGGTCAACCGGAGGGCTTGAGACGTGTATTGCTCTACGAGGGGTCGTGCGGGGTCCAGGCCTGGACAAAACGAAGAACGACTCTTACGTTCCGCAACGCTGATGATGGAGGCAACATTTATACCAAACTACACCATGCAAAAAACCCGGAAGATATCTATCCGCCCACCAACATCCCGAAAATTATCGGAATAATAACCAAACTAGGTTTTTCAAGCAGAGTGGTAACTATGTGTACCACCTACTTAACATTTAGTAACTTTGAATTTTGCTCTGAGAATGTATTTGCGTGTTTGATTTTATTGTCACAGCAAACAGAATTTTTCCTTAAGCAGAGTTAACCAGTTGATCTTTGTAACGGTGAAGAGTTGTGTTTACTTCGCGGTACGGACTGAATTCTTAAATATTAATCAGACGAACTATGATCCTCGATGTTAACAGCGATTATTTACTTAAACAGCGTTAACCAGTTGATCTTTGTAACGGTGAAGAGTTGTGTTTACTTCGCGGTACGGACTGAATTCTTAAATATTAATCAGACGAACTATGATCCTCGATGTTAACAGCGATTATTTACTTAAACAGCGTTAACCAGTTGATCTTTGTAACGGTGAAGAGTTGTGTTTACTTCGCGGTACGGACTGAATTCTTAAATATTAATCAGACGAACTATGATCCTCGATGTTAACAGCGATTATTTCCTTAAACAGCGTTAACCAGATGATCTTGGTAACGGTGAAGAGTTGTGTTTACTTAGCGGTACGGACTGAATTCTTAAATACGTAATATTTAGATCCGCCCTCGTGCTGTGTGTGAGTACCGATGATCTTGTGCATCTTGGCGGACAGGTGCCTGCTCATCATGCCGCAGATGTTCGCCCCCAGGCTGTGACCCACGCATTGTATTTTGGTGGCCCTTGCTCCGTGGTGTGTGAGGTAGCTGTACAACATCGCGGCGCACTGCGCCACAAGCCGCGTGTTGCTGAGCGCCGACAGGTAGCATGGGAACTTGGTCAGCGACTCCCAGTCCACCGTGAACACGTTGTAGTCCCCGCGATCCGCGTACGCTAAAGTTTAATTACGTCTTTTGCAGTTCACTACAAGGCATTTGTATTAATTGCAAAGTAAACTAGTCATATATGCTTTTAGTGGTTTCCCCATTAGCCCATATAATCTTCCTGAGGAAAAACCACCATTCTTTCCGCCAGGATTAGACAACTTTTGGACCGAGATCAGAATCCGAGACATTTCGAGCAACAGTGGACTAATGTACAAAACAGCAGAAAAACGCGATCTCTTGTCGGGGTATGCCACGTGTGATTTGTTGTCTAAAAGTCTCTGCGTTCCAGAATCTAAGAAAGTGAACTCGGCGCACGCATCTTTAAATGGAAAAATCTATTTATTTATCCCACTGTTGCTCCCATGTAATCAGCTGAGAGTGGCAGAGGTACGATTACAACCAAACGTCGCATCCGAGTGGTTAACTCTCTTGCTTCATACATTCGGAAGGTCCTGGTTTCATACCTCGGGCCGGAGATTGGCTATCCTGACAGCTTTGACGTTGTTTTCCTCAGACCCTCCAGGAAATTGCCAGAATAGTGCCTTAAAGTACCTCTTCCTTCCATGTCCTTTCCAGTTCATTCACCAATCCTATCATTGAACACAACCTCAGCTACTGACAGACGATCGTTAAAAGAACTGTAGGGTTATTGGCTTAAATGTAATAATTGTGCCCTCGTGGGTCGCGTCGCTCACCCTTCGTGATGAATGTTGTGGGTGACTCGCTCTCTGTCTCGTTGAAGCCGTGGATGATGATGACACTGCGTCTCCCCGGGTTCCAGCCGCCGGAGTGGAGTGAGAGGGGGTTGCGCACGTCGACCATCTTGCGGTGAGGGTAATCACTACTGCAGGGGAACCAAGAAACGAGATGAATGCATGTGGTGCTGGTCTGGGAGAGACCACTCGGGAGAATTGAGAGTGATGTTGGGAAAACGGGCGTTGCATTGTGGGGTTTCAGATTTGCACTTTTCCAAATTTTTGAAATTTCCCTCCAAAAAATTAATTTTTAAAATATTTCAAGTTTATTCTGATAAATAAAGCATATCGATTAATTAAGCCCGACCTGTCTATTTGTCTACCTGCTGTACATGAAGAACTTGATGTCCGGGTCGGGGCAAGACGTGGCCCTCTTCAACACACACTTCCAGTAGCGAATGTCCATCGCGTTCCAGATGGTCGTCATGCTGTCTGCAAATCGAGCGATTAACACCATTTTAGCGTCTTATTGCAAACATTTGAAGTAATCTTAAGAGACCAGTCCGTACCGCAAAGAAAACACTATACTACACCATTACAAATGTAAACTGAGTCACGCTGTTTAAGGAAAAAACTCTGTTTACGATGAAAATCGTAGGAAACCCTCATGTACATTATGGGGGAAAAATGCAGAGTTATTGAATGTTAAATCAGGTGGTACATATAGTTACCAGCAAGTATTAAAACGTTATTAAAGCTTTACACGCAGAAACTCGTATCTTGTAAGAAGTTGAAGTTATGTAGTTCACAACGGAAGTCGCAGGCAGTAAGCACCGTTATTGCCACGAGAGACAGCTGGCAGCCATGGAGGGTCTCCAAAGGAGCGCGTTTCGATCAACACAGTTATTGAGTCGAAACGTTTCCACGTCATTGGTCACTTTGCGTTGCGACTATGTTTCACAAAAAACGGTAATTGTAAAATTGTCTGTTAATTGTATAAAATGTTATAAATATATCTTCTGTTCTGTAAAAATTTAACTCATATAACAGATTCCGTGAGAACGTGATGGTTGCTCACCTGATCAAAATGTTTCCTTTAAAGAAATCGAACACCAACTATACCTTGTACTTAGTCGCCATGAAAGCTTCAGATCATATATCCCCCAACATCATTACCAAATTATTGCAAATTCTTATTCCCCAAATACGTCTAAATAAAACACGTGTGCCCTACTTTCTTGCCGTGAGCAGAATATGAAAAACAGACGAATTTGAGACTACTCGGTTCTCACTGCGGTGAAATTTCACCTCATGCCGTACGTTCCACCAAGATTTCCACGATCGGCGTCACCGCAGAGAGTTCCGCCTGAGTATCGCCACGACACTCACGTCCGAACCCGGGACTCGACAGCACGTGACGGCAAATGGACCGGATCCGTGCCTCTTCGTACACGCGTGTGTTAATCGACTTCATTGCGCTCTCCACTCCTCTTTTGTTACGGGCCTTGATCACTAAGTTTTCTTTGTCGTTCAGCGTTCCTGTCCAATTTGTATTACTTAAGTACGTTCGCCTAGTCATTACTTTAGCAACTTTTCTGTCCTTATTACTTAAAAATTCTCTTGTTTTCGCCAAATTTTGCTTACGTAATGTGTTTGTACATTATCAAGCTCTGTCAAACAACTTACTTACCAACTAATGCAGCTTTAAGTTCTCGCTTTTTACGTACATCTCATTCATGTCGATGATTAACATATTTCGGGGTTGTAATGTGCACTAAAAGATTTTCAGATATCGAGGAAGAGTTGCTTGTGTCTGTCTAGCGGATGCTCCAGATATGTAGGTTAACGTAACCAGTACCAGAGGCGGAATGGACGTCACAATTTACTCGGACTGACTACACGGAAAGAGAGCAGCGCCGGCTTTTCCTTTGATGGGGGTACCATCATGAAACCTAAGGGCAGGTTTTGTTGTAACTAGGTCATACGTACGTAATGCACAAATTACGAAATTTTTGTGTTTTAACGAAACAGATAACATATCCTCGTAGCATTAACATTTCTACGAATATAAAAGTATTCGTAATTTACTGCTGTGAACAAAGTAAGATCATTCGAGGGAAACAAAATGATTGGCCGCTGTATGCCACTGACGTGTATCCTGAAGATAGAGGCGGGAAGTTTTTCCTTAAGATTTGGTGATCGGCTATATGACTGCGCTGTGTCACAAAGGGACGATCACATTTTGAATTTTCCGCCACTGTGAAAACCGGAAATATCATTCTTTACGTGTTTTCGGGTTAACTTTTATTTTGCATTGCAATGATCGGACTTTACGCCGTTTTGTTTTCGCTTTGCATGTGCGGTCTTCCTCAGTCACAGCACTGGACTGCGTGGCTTACCTTGAGTCAGAAGGAACAGTAGGGCCCAGGGCAGAAGGCGTCCCATGCTCCATCCACCCACCTGGACTCGGTGCAGGCGCTGATACTCGCTGGATCGTGTCCACTTCGGCGATCTCTTCTCCGACCTTACTCGCCGACTGAGAGAGATCCAGTTGCTGGCTCCGCTCCGCCATTCAACATCCCGTTTTCGTAATTGTTTATTTCCCCCCCTCTATGATTCTCAGCGTAAACAGCGATTATTTCCTTAAACAGCGTTAACCAGTTGAAGTGAGGTGTTTTCTTCGCGGTACGGACTGAATTCTTACGTAATATTTATACGAGCTTCGGCTTCAAAGGATTAACCAGTTGATCTTTGTAATGGTGAAGTGTGGTGTTTTCTTCGCGGTACGGACTGAATTCTTAAACATTATTTTGGCCAACTTCGGTTTCAGAGGGTTTAAAGTACTGGCGTCATTAATCAATTCCAAAGAGATCCACGCCCACACAAATTATCGTTCAGTGACAAGATTAATTAAAGCTCTTGTTCATTAACAAAATAGAACTTAGTTCTGTGCCGATGCGTGCGTTAGTTTCATCTCCGGCCCCCCCCCCCTCGCTATATGCGTAAAAGTGAATCTTTTTCTATGAAATATCATCATCTGCATAAACTAAACGTTTCTACCCTGATGATGGAGATGACATTTTTATTCGAAACCTTCATGTGCGACCACAAATATCACACGTTATCTAATAGTTTTCGGGTTTGATTTCAAAATTGTGTGGGCCGAAATGTTATTTTTAGGGCTATTCAAAATATGCTGCAAGTCTGTCGTGTTTTGTGTTACAGACGTAAAATTGCACAAACTCACATAAAAAGACTGGGTTGGCCCCAGAGAATGAACCGGCATAACTCAGTCAGTATAGGGACTGGACGACCGGGGTTCGATCCCCGACGGGGGGCAAAGAATTTTTCCTATAGCCTCTGGGGCCCAACCAGCCTCTTATCCAATGGGTACCGGGGTCCTTTCCCGGTGGTAAACCGCGGTCTAGGAGTGATGCTGACTACTCGACCTCGTCGAGGTCAAGAATGGGTAGGAGCTGTACCGTCTGCACCTGCGTGGCTTTTTGCATTACTTTTGGCCCAGAAACAGTGTGGACTCTGCCCAAAGGTTGCTTCAGCATAAATAGGGTGACATCTTTGAAGCAGTACACGTTTATCATTCAATTTTCTGACAAGAGATGTCGCCAGAGATTATCCACGGTGAATATGTTGGCCGCAACTATAACCAACAGTAATAAAAAAACGCCAGTATAAAACAAATTTACATTGTAAATAGTTGTATTCTTTTCTCTTTGTTAGTGTTTGTTAATCGTTTGGAAGGTGTCCGAAACGTTGGACTTTTGTCCCGAATTGATGTTTTATTACTTTCACTCTTAGTGAGAGCTTCAAGTTTATATGCTAATTACAACATATAATATACAATGCGCAAATTTGGAGTGTTTTTAGTATCGCCGTTGGCAATTCTGCTCTCTCTCCGTTTTGTTCCAACGCGTTGGATGGTGGGTGAAAATGTGAGTTCATGGGTAATTTCCCAAGATGCGTTAAATCATTAGGATCATGATGTTGTTGAAGCACGTCAACATTACTGACTAATGTTTGGGTTCCGATTTACTTGAAATGAGTCGGCCAGTAAGGCTTGTATGTATTTAATTTTGAACATCTGAATACTGTTGCGATGTCGGGTTCTGTTTGGCACTTTTCGTTTGTGCGCAGTAGATTATATAATTAATCTTGGAGTTAACATCCGTTGGTAATGTTGATTTCTTCGTTACAATAAAAGTTATTTAGTAAAATAATGCCATCTGAAATGTTGCTCATGCATAGAAAATACCCACGGTCTTTGCCTTATAAACAGTTCCCTTATGTTTTATGTGAAACGGGAATGTACATTTGCTGTAAATTATTCCCGATCGTTGAATTTCATAATGTGAATTTAATAGTTTCCAAGGTTCGTTACATTGCTTGAATTTTTTTCGACAAATGCTGTATTTTGCATTTAAATGTTCCATGACATGAAAACAGGAGTTTGGGATTTGGCAATTTGATTTAAATGTTCCATGACATGAAAACAGTTTTGAGTTTGGGATTTGGCAATTTTAGCAGCATTGAAGCAAATTGTGTTAGGGGTTATGCTATTGAATTTATATACACTTATTGTAGGAGGCACAGTTGGGATAGAAACTGAAGGGTTAGAATATGCTCGGACTATTGAATTTATATACACTTATTGTAGAAGGCACAGTTGGGATAGAAACTTAAGGGTTAGAATATGCTCGGTAGAGGTAAACATGTTGAGACATATAATGTGTATTCTTATTATGCTTTGTGTCTGCTAAAGTGTAATTAAATCCTGCTGTTTGTTTTAATTTTGACAGTTTAAATATGAAGCTAGCACGCATATGATACTTTGTGCTGGCAGAAGTGATGGCCAGAATGCCCAGTGTAGGGGAGAATAGTGCTTTGCTTTGTAAATCTCTCGGCTCTGTTGTAGCTGCTAATCTTGGTAAGTTGCAGATTGTATCAGCCACAGAATGAACTTCAAACACAGGGCCAACATTGTATTTCACAATCAGTACATACAATTTTTCATAACTACTTCATTGTCTAGATTTTAAAGTGAACTTTTCCTTCTGCATATATAGTTGCAGAACTTGTCATTTTGCACATATTGTAGCATTCTGATTTGAGTTGACTTTCAGTAGAATAATGGAGACTGTCAGTAAAATATACCTTGTGTGATGTCTTCAAACTATGGTACAAGGACATTCATGAAGAATTTGGATGTTTTACACTTTTACGTGGAGATTGTTTCATGTTGTGAATATTGTTGTTTTTTTATTAAAGTTACCTGTAAGAAAGGGGGCCAGTCAGACACCAAACTTGGGGTACTGGACTGCTTGTCAGATCCTCTCACTGTGTTAGTATCACCAAGTGAAGAGAAAGAGGTAGAGCAACTGCAGAGTAGTGAGGATGACGAGAGCCTCATCGTAAGTTCTGCAGCTGCTGGTGTATCTTTCAACAGCAGTACCACTCTCACAGCTGTTACTTTGGCTGATGGTACCCAGGCATTTGTAGCGGAGGACATCAATCTAGATGCAGGTAGTGTACAGTCTGATGATGTACCGAACCCCATCATTTGTAACAAAGACATCAGAATCCAAATATTCTGTGTTATTGTAACTTTCTATCTGTTACACAATTCATTTACGTGGGTTATAACGTCTGTTTGCGCAACTGTCATATAACAAAGTCTAAAAATGTGGATCCTGTAAAATACACTGTGTGAATATTTGCAACGCGTACTATCGTCAGTAAATAAATTACAGAAGACATAAGAGGATTTGTACATCTTAAAAATGGTCATTTGCCGCACGTTTTAGACACATGTCCTGAGATATGGAAACTTTACTTGTTCAGATGGGCTGGAAACAGAAACACTGGAGTTGGAAGATGGGAGCACCTTGTTGATTCAGGAGATTCCAAAATTCTTAGATGGACACACTGTTCAGCTGGAAGATGGCACCACTGCATTTGTGCATCCCAGCATCAAAGCTGGAGGTAACATTATCCTGGAATGAATATAAAATAAAATAATTTTCCCTGTGATCACTTCAGCCTTACTGAGTAACTGGTATGTGATTTTTGCAGAAAGCTTCCAGCCAGTGGAGCTGGAAGATGGCTCCACTGCATTCATTGCTTTAAATGGATCAGTATTGGATGCTTTGAGTCTTGAGGGATTTGCTGCACTGGGCAGCGAGAGCCTTAAACAGTCTTCTGCATCATCTGTTGTTGCTGGTGGCAGGGCAGAAGATGAAAGTGGCGAGCTTTGCGTGCGTGATCGCGCAAAAAGCTTCATGTGCCCCCATGAAGGTTGTGGAAAATTATACACTACACTACACCACCTGAAGGTGATTAAAAGTATGGTGACAATATACATCAGAGATTAAGCTATATTGTAGATGCTGCGTGTTTTTGTTTCATCCGTGCTTGTGATTCTTTTTAAATTCTCTTCGAAAGGTATGGATTGAAGACCAAGTTCTTTCAGTATGAAAGACTTTCTGAATAAATACAAAGAAGCTTTTTATTTTCAAAATGTCATAGCACTAAAATGATTGTAGAGGGTTCATTGGAATTTATTTGTAATCTTAATGTGTTATGGTTTCAGTCAGCTTGTGCATTTGTCTTCTGACTTAATTTTTCAGGTTCATGAGCGTGCACATACAGGTGATCGTCCATTCCGTTGCACAGAATCTGGCTGCGACAAAGCTTTTGCAACAGGTTACGGTCGGAAGGCTCATGTTAGGACTCATACTGGGGAGAAACCCTATAAGTGCCCTGAGGAAACATGTGGAAAAAGCTTCAAGACATCGGGCGACCTCCAAAAGCATGTTCGCACACATACAGGTACAATATTATACTAGGGATGTTCCAAACTATTAACTTTGCGCCATGTAGTCTTGTATATAAACATTTTACATCATCAATTGAATTTATCAGTGTCATTCAGTATATTCATCTTTCAAATTTTATGGCCAATATCAATCTGTAAGTCTGTCTTCATATATTTATATGTACATACTCGTATGTCGCCAGGAGAACGTCCATTCCAGTGTCCTATTCCTGGCTGTGGGCGATCTTTCACGACATCAAACATTCGGAAGGTTCACGTGCGCACACATACAGGGGAACGTCCGTACGTATGTCCCGAGGAAGGCTGTGATCGAGCATTTGCTTCAGCTACAAATTATAAGAACCATCTTCGCATCCACAGTGGTGAAAAACCCTATGTCTGCACTGTACAGGTATAAATGTGTAGAGGTTATCAGAAATTCCACGGATAATTAATTTCTTTGCATCGAATATTTCAATGTAAATCCACGCCAAGTACTAATTTATTGTAGGATTTGAGGTTTTCAGTTATTATTAATGGTACCATCTGTAACTAAAATAAAAAATCTGTAACTGTCATTGTCCCCGAAGTGAATATTTGGGAAGTAAGAATGTTGTATTCTGTGATCATGGATAATTTTTTACCCAAAACAAAATGAGCTCGGTACTTTTTTATTTTAAATCTAGCTCATGGTTAGCATTCTGTATTTCCTTCAGTGTATTTTTTTATTGCCTGATGAAGACACCTTTTTATAATGCGCCTCAGAACATTTCCAGCTTCCATTTCTGGAAATTCCAGGCAATGAATGTAACTCTGGATTAACCGTGTTTTCGATTAACCACCCCCACCTCTCAGCCCTGCTCATGCCGTTAAGCAACTACACTGCATATTGCCAGCTGAATTTAGTTATTTGCTTACTTTCTTCATAATTATTATGCACATAATCATTTCTAATGACTGCTGGGCATGTTTTTTATTTGTAAGGTGGGTGTTACAATTGATTGTCCAGGGATGTGTGAAGAGATTCACTGAATATTCTTCACTCTATAAGCACCACATGGTGCACTCCCAGCAGAAGCCATACTACTGTTCGTTGTGTGCCCGTCACTACCGCCAGGCCTCGACCCTGACGATGCACAAGCGTACAGCGCACGGAATTGTTGAAGCGGATGACGGTACCGAGATTGTGCTTGGTGAAACAGTGTTTGCCCTGGCTAATGCTACATCTGGTTCTGCGGGAAGTAAAAGGGTCAGCTCTCTTGGCACAAATGTAAGTATCGGCCAGAACGTAATAAACAGGTGACCTTGATTTGGCCTGTGTGTACGTCTGTCTCCATCATTTTGAACCCTTACTTCCTTTACAGAAGAGCGTTCTTAAAATTTGAATACCAGGCGAAATGATGAACTCGTGTGTAAACAAGAACATTGTAAAAATGAAACACAGATTGGTTCAGCCAGTGCTGTGCATTTATGTAAAATAATTTTTCTCCCTGATAATGAATATTTTACATTTTCGTAACTGCTAGTGTCAGTGCGTGTTTGTCATTCCAGAATAGGGAACATTGATTCATCATAGAGCATTTGATAATGTACACCTTTATTGATACACCAAGGTAATCGGGTAAGATTTAAGGTTCTCACACTGGCCTGACTGCCCTGATGAAGGCAGAAAGTGCATCTGAGACCGGTCATTTTATACGAGACTACATTGTGCAGTATCCCAGAAGAAAGTCATCTTCATATGATCATCAGGTTCAATGTTTTGGTGTTATCATCAAAACGGGTAGGAAACTTAATAAGCAGAAACAAATCTTGTTCTAAAAAATGTGCTGCACCTCTCTCATTTACCATTCTTCATACAGGAAGCACAAGTTCCCCACGAACATCATTCAATGCAGTTAAATTCCTGCAGACTTTTTCTGTTCCCCTAACTGAAAAACATCCAACAGTGTAAGGCGTTTCCGGTAGTGCAAGAGACTATCCAAAGAGTGAAATGGGAATTGAATAACATCCCAAAAGGGGGGCACTTGAAGTGCTTCAGTAAGTTACAAAAGGACTGCATTGTGCTTTGTATTCAATGAAGCGGAGATTGTTCATCTTCTAGGTTGTGATGCTCTGTGGATTTATAGGTAGAAACATGTTTCCATCTTCAGGGCTGATTGAGCTCTGGAATTTTAAGATCCATCATGATGTTTTTGTCATCCATAACGTTGTACCACTTGCAGTTACTAGGACTGAAGGATGGTAACACACTGGTGGCACTGCAGACCTCGGACGGTTCTTGTCCGCTGGAGAACGTTTCATCGGGACAGTTCCTGGTTGTTGCGGACCCGGCCCAGCTTGCTGCTTTGGAGGTGTGTTCTCTGCTTAGTTTTTCATGCATTTCTTATGGGTTCCACTTTTTTATTGTACTTGCCTGAATTTGGTTTAATTAACGTCCCATCTGCCTGTTTGTGGCAGTTGGTGTATTGGGTTTATGGAGTATGATTCTTATAGCACCATTCAGAAGAAACGTTTCTGCCAGGACTGCTTGTTGCTATTTGCATTTGTACTGTATCAGGTAAAGCCACTGCTATATATTGATACTTTGTTTAAATGTAATTTATGGATGTTCTAGCAACTTGGAATGACGGCAACACAAGTGGACGAAACAGACGATTTGGATATGACCGAGGATGCATCATCAGATGGTAGCATATTACCAATTTAAATCCTTCCCAGCTGTGAGACATGGATACAATAAGACACATATGCTGGGGCAGAGAGTGCAAGACGTAATTCTTCTATTTATTAGCTGGAAATGGTTTGTGACTTTGTGACTTGATGTTAAACCAATGTATGTTACTTTTAGTGTTAAACTTCTGCAATGTTTAACTGGAATAAAGTTGTGCCAAAACTTTCTGATGGTTGATAAAAAAAAGTGATACATTTTAGCGTGTTTAAAATATATATGTCGGTGAAAGACAAGTTTTATCATAGCGTGTGTGTTTGCCAGGTGATGATCCTGTAATGTCCTGTTTCAAATGGCAAGTATATTAAAATGCTGATTATGTATGCAACATGTTTTTTTCTTTTAGAAAGGGCCATGACACAGAAGAGTCAACAGGGAAGATGCATAGGTACAATTTGTCTAAGAACTCTCAGCATGAGAGAGTAAAAGTGCACGTTGTTCAGAGATAGGAGACAGCAATCAATGTCTTCACTTTCTTTTAAGAAAACACTTGTCAGACAGTCATGAAGGGCTCGTATTCAAAAACCTCCAGGAAAGAATTTTGCTTATGGGGATAGTAATTTCCTCCAAATGCTCAACACGAGACATGAATGAATGGCAAATTATGCAAAAAAAATCAGTAAATGCCCATTTGGAGAATTGAATGGTGATCGGAGGATGACATTTAAATAGAAAATGTAATGATATGAATTGGATTCATGAGGAACAGGATAGATTCCAGTGTTAAGCGTCAGACTTGATGATGTTCAAGATGAGGGTGGGTTATTTTATTGGAGAATGGATGATTCATTTAATAAGAAATGTCAGTATGAAGTGCCTGTGAAATGTAGAGCATCACAGAAGTTCATGTCATGACAAACAGCTACAGCACTTAAGTGCATCGTCTGAATACAATCAACATTTAACTTATAAAGCTTTATTTTAGGATCAATAATATTTTCATTTAATTACTAATACATATAGGTTAACCATAAACACCTTTACCTTAGATTTCGGAATATTGCCGATCACACAGCATATCTGAGTGCATTACTTTGCAAAAATTAACATAACTTAATGTATAACTTACAGTATTAAATGAAAATGTCCCAGTTACAAAACATATTTGCATTTATATAATACGCTTCTGACTAGAAAGGTAACATTCAAATTTGGCTAACAGACTGAGGCAATGTTAACTGTAGCCCAAAGTTTTGCATTTTGACTGATGTATATCAGAATGTAGTAAAGTACGCAGTCCTCAATATTCTCGTTTAAGTGTGTGTTAAAGTACATTCAAAATAAAGTTCTTTCAAGTGAAAAGGGACTAAAAACAAGCATGACTGTTCAGGGAATCTTAACCCTGGTGTTACAAATCATTTCAGTCTACATGGATTCCCAATATAATTCAACCTGCAAATATAAGACCAGATCAAAAATTATATGGAATGATCAAACTCATCACGGATAAATCGTGTTATTTAAGGACATGTCCAGGTGTGTCATTCAATTGCTTCAGCCTTTTTTTGTGCCATGATTTTTACCATCTACCAAGAGCACATATGTCTCATTTAGTATTACTGGGTTTCTAAACTTTGGCCATTTACTACTGTTTCAAATAGGTCATAATGTTTTGAAAACTGCATGTTTCTCTCCTAAGATGATCAAATTTCTTAAACATGTTCTGTTCAGAATTCTAGACTATGGAGAAAGCTCAAACTAGAATGTACCATCATCATATCCCTTAAAAATGGAAGGAACATTTTCACATGCAGGGGGACAGGATTGTATGCTTGTGAAGACATGGATTGTAACGTTATGTGTGTTGTAAACTCTGAGGAAACAGAGACTCGCCAGGCTGAGCTTAAGCAGATTATAATCATTTTAACTTCTAACCGAATTAACAAACTTATAATGCTTTGAAACATGTTCAGGTGAACAGTGAAAAATGACAGAAAAACTAAAATATCTAAGTAGTGCACAAACCATTGACAAGTAAATGTAACTGGAATAAAGTCGCATGTTTATATGTTTATTAATAGCATCTTCATAATCCTTGTCATAATTCACATCATACACTCTGACGGACAACATGGCAACAATAATAACTTTAATACTCCACGACAGTGTTAAATGTTACACTAGCGACAACAAGATTGATAGATTCTCTTTGGAAAAACATATGACAAACTTGATTCTATCTGTTGCAACTCGAATAAAGATCCGATTGAAATTTATCAAAAGTTTCGATTGATAATTATATTCAGCTATTGAATTTATTCAATGATGAACATCGTATTTAAACTGAGATGTACAAAAACTGACTTCCACAATATGTATTAATTTGAGGCACATTCAGCGACTACAAATGGTTATACGTTGTTTTTTTTGGTTATCCGTGGTACAGTGGGACCACATTCTGCATCTGTGCAAGAACAAGAAATCGGCTGCTCGTACGGACAACACGTCATAGTCAGTTCACGTTTGTGTTATTGATGTGATAGTTTTTTGTTTGTTATGCTGCCACCTGTCAAATTTTTGTACTAAAACTGTTAATATGACGATCAGTCTTCGTCAGAAATAAAGGGAAAATGTTAAAGTTGAAGTCATGGAAAGGTTTTGTTGTGCTGTTTGAGATATTTTTAGGAATATCGGCGTCAACTCATTGGGTTGTTACTGAGAATGGGCTTATACAATCACAGGTATGAAAGAATGTTTGCGTTATACTTCATTAATTGTAATTTTTAGTGTTAGTGAAACAGTCGTATTGGTCTTCCAGATTGAATTATTGCAGAATGATTAAATATTCGACTACGGACTACTTTATATCTTTTAAGCTATTTTATGTGCTGTAAATTATGCTCTCTGTATTATGTACAACATGAATAAATCCAAGTAGTTCCCAAAATTGGTAATTTGATAATGCTTTCTATCTTGATGTTTCTTATTCACAGCTGGACTCAATTTTCAACATCCGCCGCCCATATGATCTGCTGGCACTGCTGGAACAGGAATGGCGAGTGAAGACTGTAGACACTCTTTACAGGGATCTGGTGTCACGCAAAACTATTATAGACAAAAAGTGGGCAGGCGTAGAGAATGCAAAAGACTTTGAAGATCGCTTATTTTCAGAAGATCCTGATTGTATTCGGGCCGAAGAACCTTTGTCTGACACAGACCTGTATCCCAGCCTGGTGGGCGATATTCAGGACCGCATTAGGTGGGATTAATAAACGTGTTTTTTTAAATTTTTAAAGGAAACGTTTAAACTAGCAGGCCTGTAACCAGTACACTTAATTATTTAATAAATTATGCCCACTGTGCATTTCTATTTTCCATCTACAGTGTGAAATGTTCCCACTTTGCACATTATACGTGAATTTCCGTGCTTGTTGTCACATGCATTAGCTCATACTTTGTTTCTACTCATTTGTTAGTTTTCATATCTGTGATGTAGATTCTTCCTATTTATTTCTCTTCGCTTACCTGTTCTGGAATAGTTGTTATGAAGTGTGTGTGTGGAAAATATGTGGTTTCTCAGGTCCTTAATAAAAAATACATCAATGCATGAAGCTGTGTGTGTTGACAGACCCAGTCCCTTTTTCATTGTTCTTAGTCGTTATAGCACTTTTTCTTATCCATGGTGTGTGAGTGTGTTTTATTAGGATGACATCAAGATATCTGAAGTTTGTTGTTTCAAGCCTCTTGCCTTCATGGAGGGAATATTAGCATAGACATGCAGTTGTTGTAATGTTTATTTACTCAGTCCATAGCCTGTGCTGATTTTTGTGTGGTCTTCGTTGACGTAACCTTCTGTTAGAACTAATTTTTTCCTCAATTTAATTTTTCAAGTAAGGGCTCCAAAATATTGTTGACGTTGCTTCAAGAGTTTCTGTTGTCGGCATACTTTGGACGATGTACATTTTCCTAAGTTGTTGACCAGGTATTGTGTTCATGAAAGTGTACCTTTCTGCACCGCCAAGTGCATGACGGCTGGTATTTCCCTATTCACAGTACCAATAAGAAGGCTGTGACTTCAGTCGTACATATATATTAGTGCAGATGTTTGGACGTATTCCATTTGTCTTGTCACACATGGTTGGTTTACATTGCCCACACATATGGTCTTTGATGATCTTTCTGACCTCTGTTCACCTAGACAGGGTCATATAATCTATTTCTGAGGTGGTAGCACGCATGGGGCATATTCTGTTGCTTGTAACAAGGGGATCATGAGAATGGTGGTCAGCAGAAGGGATGTACAGCTTAATGTTAGCTCTGAACCACAGTGGGGAGGACTTCAGTCTGTGAACAGATATCTGACTGGGGGTCAAATTCAGATCCATCTGAATAAGAGTGCATTGTTTTATCCCCAGAGTACTGGGTTCTTCTTTCACAGGTAACTTAAGGAATAATGGAAATATAACCTAATTGTAATACTATTTGCATACATTCCTTATTTTCATATATGGGTTTTCACATATGTACAGATTTAATGTCGGAAATCAAAATTTGGACTGGACGTGCAAGGTGTCGGGCAATAAGACGCTTAATAAAATCATCAGATTTAAACAAGGGCAACAGCATAATGTCTCAATAATCACATAAACAGAGTTAAATCTCATTGCAATTCATAGATAGTACAGATGAATACGCTATTTTCTTTACACGTAGTTTATGATTGTTGTTTTAGGTTGGATCGCTACCTTTCTGTTGATATACCTGCGAATGGTCCTTTGTTGCCATTCTGCACGCACACATTTTCTTTGGATTTCAGTATGCACGCATTTGAACACCTCCATGTAAGTAGATCGTTTCACTTTGTCAATATCTCTTGGTGGTACACTTTCCTGTGCCTCTTATATTTAGGCTTTTATAGTAAGTAGCGTATATTTTGCTTGAGTGCATTCAACAGAAAACAATGTTCAGGTTTATTAGTGAGGTGTTTGTTAAATTCTTTAGAAAGACAAGTAATTGTCATAAAAAATAATGATGTTTGTGCAAAAAAATATATTTTATTTATTGTATTATTATGACGTATTCCTCATCCTATTGTCACGTGGCTAACTTATGGGTCCATAGAATGTAATAATATGCAGACACTAGCCAGGATATGTCCATTGAAAACGGAGGCTGGTGTTGCGGCTGAGTGTCTGAGCACTGTAGAGCGTTGTGTGGTGTTGACAGGCAATGGTGAAGAGAGCTAACCTGTCGGCAGGTCCCGAAGTGAACCTTGCAACGTCTCTGCTGGGGGACAAAGATCTTGCCCTCTTCGGTCATCAGGTGGCCTTGGGGCTTAAGAAGAACTCTACTTCGTGGCTTCACTATAATCTGGCATCCATATTTTGGAGAATACGAGGGGATTCACCTAATGCAGTGGAGTGTGCACGCAAATCTGTTCACTTTGCACCAAGGTAAATTTATCTGGTTGATGTTCAGCTCCGTGAAAATGACGTCTAGAACCAGTTTCTTGCTGGTGGTTTTCTTTGTTGATGCTTATTAATGTGTGCAGATCTATCCTTTACCTCTCATGTACCCTCATTCTTCACACAGACTTCACTTTTGCATGAGACTGAAGTGTCACGAGTAAGTCCAGTCAGTTGCCCAGTCATGCAGGCAGCATGGCTCCGGCCGTCTTAGTCGTATAATGTGCAGGTATTAATTATGTGTAAATTTTATCTCGTTTTCCTTCGTGTCATTTGGTTTTGTTCTTTATATTGTATACAAAGTTTTAAAATGTATGTTCCTAAGTTTAATTTGTTGCTTTAATATGAATTATTATAGTAATATATTTTATTTATAGAGTTTTTATATGCATAATGAAATGTTGATATATGAATGTATTTCTTATTAAACAGAACTCAATTAAGTTTTAACCGCATTATCATCAGTTTTCATAATTTTTTATTTTATGATTAGATATGTATCATTGTTCATATCACAGTTTTATTTATGTTTTTCTTCCTCCATACTTATTACAAGAAACTAAAATTTGCGTTAATTCATTTTGTCTTTCACGGCATCGTAAAATTTTAAACTGATCCATCAGCTTGGCTTTAGCAGAAATGGATTTAGTAAATTGTTAGTAGGATTTGAGGTTTTTTCCCTGATGATGGAGGCAGCAAGGACGTCTGAAACGTTGACAAGTTTCTATGAGAGTAATCGGTGCAACGACCAAGAAGACAGTTGTTTCCAGTTAATAGTTCTTGCTGTATGAATATACCATTTGTCCTGTTCCTCCTCTTTGTTTCTGGAGTTATGTTAGCTGTACGTGTCAATTCCGTGCTTGAGTTGTCACAGCTTGAATTCCATTCTCATACTTTCTAAAATTCACTAAATCCCATTCCTGTACATCCTCTGTTCACAGGCAGTACAGAGATCTAGCTCTACTCAATCTTGGTGCTATTTTCCACCAGGCTCGGTTTCCCGCTGAAGCAGCCATCATTCTTCACGCGGCTGTGGATCACGCTCCGCTGGTGGCCTCAAGCCACTTTTTGCTTGGTAATGTGTACGCAGTTCTAGGTGATTACAACAGGTGAGATGCTGAACATTATTTGAAAAAATTTTCTCAGAACACATAAATTTTGTAGTAACAGAAATACATCATAAATAGAGCCTGGTGATTGTAAACTTATTTTTTATAGTAAGAAACACTTCTGAAAATCAGTCAAACATTAAATCTTGGTCAAGGTTTTAACTACACAGCTTTGATTTTAATGTCCTTGAAATCCTATGAAAAATGTTATTCCTTATGTGTAAGCCATGAACACTAAAGAAATTGTGACCAAATTTCAACAGTAATCTGGCTTCTGCTGAGATGAAATCTGTTCTGATTTTAAGGAGACATTTCATTTGATGGCTATAAAGAATGTTCCTTAAAATATTTTTACATTTTGCTTCATATTGATTATATTCCAAAGAGAAACCATTGTAATTAACTGTAATAACATTTTATACGTCTTCTAGGATCAAGACATAAAAATTCTCAAATAATGTATTTAATAAGTTTAAGTGACAGCCGTGTGAAAGATTATGGAACGGTGATATATTCTCCTAAGATTCAGTTTTTAGATGTGTTTTTTGTGAGGATGATAGAGGTTACTGCGATTTCTTTTTCTGGCACAGTTTACAGGTTAGGAACAACTACCATTTTATGTATCTGAATTAGTTACGTCACACGTGCTGATGACTGCGCTAGTTCCACTCATTGTCAGCCTGAGTCTAGTACAGAAAGACTAAGCTATTTTATTTGAAATTAGTAAGAAAACTGAAATTTATTCCATTGCAGAAATTTTGGGAGACTGAATTGGATTAAAATACTGGAAGAACGAAAGGATTCCCTTGCATTGTAAATGTCTTGATGAGATAAGAAATTACAATCACACCCATAAAGTCGCTCTCAGTCTAAACCGTTTCTTCCTTATGCTTGTTTACTAAATGTGACGTCTGTATGGGGTCGGCATCTTCTTTAGCAGTTGGGCCTTAACTTGCCTTCTTGATTTAGTATTTTCATGAGGTGTCTGTCAGAGTAATGTCTTAGCTGTACGCGTCTTCGTCATCAGCTACGTAATTCTGGTATTGTGAAGTGAAGACAAATCTGTGCTTTAAATACCTTCTGCCTTACTTTTGGTTGGAATTTCTGCAGGGGGAGGGGTAGAATTTTTCTATATGCAATTGAAATTTAGTGCAGTAGCGACAGTGATTCGTGTTCTGTTTATCCCCTCCATGGTTTCATCATAAACATGAATTGTGTAGGTCGGTGGCATGTTTTGATAATGCAGTGAAGCTGCAACCTGATATGGATGAAGTGACACGGATTAAATACTCCGTACTGTGCCATAAGAAGTTGGAAAGGGGGCTTCTTCATCTTCATGAGTAAGTACTGTTAATTTTCCCTCAAAGTACACACGTTTATTTGGTGTTGTCATCCCTTGGCTAAGCGTACTAATGACCCCAAGAACTGAACGAGTTTTTGTGTGATATTATTACTGTTACATTTTAATTCTATTTAATAAGGGAACCTTCAAAATTCCCCATGATGCACATCAATTGCACTGATAGATGGTGTTTCATATTCCATACCAGTCATCACATGTGTCGTCTGTCTGTGAACGTTCGGAGTACCACATAATTATATAAAAATATAAAATTAGTGTCTGTTGTTGGGAGAGAGTAAGATTAGTCTGACGTACTTATTCATCGTTGCAAGTTGCATTGTATCGTGTGATGTCTTCATATAACACTGCACTGTCAGACAATAGTAAATGGTAACTTCAACCAGACTACGTGGTGCTCCAACCCAGAAGACAGCCATCTTGAAATGGAATATTCATCATCCTTTCTCATAGCATTCTTTGCATTACTTCCTCAAATACTTCCCTTTTTAATTTACTTTGCACTTGGCTGGCAGATGATCACCTCTTTGGTGATTTAGTTTTTTTATTGGAATGCTGCCCGAGTTTCTTCAACAAATGTTGCAAGACTGGGATTTTACTGCATGTTTTTGTACGTTTCAGGTCCCTGCAATACATTTTAGCTGAACTTCATGACTATCACAATAAACAAGAAGAATGGTTGAAGGAACAGGAGACGCTGATGTGGGAGCAAGCTCCGCTTGACGTCCGTCTGTTGGGAGAAGATAACAGTTTTATATCGGCCGTGCTGGGCAGTAAGGGTGAGGAAGCGATTTGATCAATTTTGTGTTTTATACAGATCAGCAGACAGGAGTCAGCATGAATAATGACTCTCTAGAAAATGTGAGTACTGGCTTCACATAAGAAATAGTAGTAGTAAATATTAACAAAATAACTGTGTTGGAAGGTGATAAAATTTGCTCGGAAAAGAGGTGAGTGTAAGAAATTTAATTCTACGTGTTATCCAGCAGTCATTGTATGTTCATGTCTGTGATGTGTCTCCACAAATGAATTTCGAACTAACTGATGGAATTATATGAAATTTTACCTCCATATCATCTTTATATCAAAATTACTCGCCATCAACAGTATGAACCTGCTGGAAACGCATGTTGTCACTAAGAGCGACCTGAAATTATCCAAATAGTATGCAAATTTAGTTGGACTAATTTTTGTATTTTTGGTTGTTAATGTGAAGTGGCAGACAGCACAAAATCTGTATTTAGGGATTGATCAGTACTGAACTGCTTCTTCTTAATATTTGAAAAGAAATCATTTGGCATCTTGTATTTCAGGCCACAGCTGTATGCGGCGGATCCAGGACGGGCGCCCGGTGTTGAGTTGTGATGTCAGTAGTGAGAGTAAGTTGTTGGCCCACAGTCTGCACATTGACATCAGTCTCAGTCTCCAGATGCTGCTCAGGAATGTGGAGTTACAGGTAAGCTGGTGTTCATGAATTTCAAATGATTCTAAGAAAAACAAGTTTTGTTTCCATAAACAGCCTTAACTCATTGACTTTGTAAGTATGAAGTAACATAGTATTAGATTTGTTAGGATCGTTATTTCTGTTTATGGAATTTTTAACAAAGTTGCATTGCATTCTGGATGTATTCTGGTTACAGGCAAAGAAGATCAGCGATCAGGTGTCTCGACGAGGTCTCTTGTCTCGTGCACCGGTGGCACCGGATGGGGGTGGGGCTCAGATGCGGCAAGTGAAAGAAACGGTTGAAGGTGAGGAAGCTGCGTCTAGCGGCAGCAGTGACAGTGCCAGGTATCACACTCCCACAGTCGCACCTGTCTACCCTAATTCACCTCCAGATTCCATTCCGAAGAAGGCCGCAACATACGAACAAGAGGACTGGCCCCAGCAGGAAGAATGCACAGCAGTGACTTCGCCAGTTTACTTCCCCCCTGTGTTCCTGCCTCCGGAGAATAAGGGTTTTGAGTAAGTTTAATTTCTTCCTCTCTCAGTATGGTCAATCAAGAGGACATATTGATTAAAATTGTTTTCTTTGTTGTCTTATCGTTTGTTTTGCCAGAAGGGTTTTCCGTAACAGGTTTGTGGACTTCTTAAATTTTGTATGAATCTCTTTCTGTATGCAGATAAATACAAGTGTGTGGGTTGCATTAATCCTTGAAGTTATAATTGTGTACTGTTACATGTTTGAAGTGTTTACTGGCTGGAATTTTAATTGTATGTGAATCATGTTTAAGTTAGGCTTTGACTGGGTTGTGGACACAAATACAAACATTTAGAGCAATTTAATTAGAGGTCATCCTGTCTTTTTTTCGTAATTTACATAATTCACAAAAAATTTTATAAGTATTAAATTATTTATGATCTTGGTTACATCAGATCAAAGTCTGATCGATGTCATATTCCTGAAACAAGGTCAAGTTCTGTTGTATAACTTTTTTAATTCTGGCAGTGGTTGAAGAACTGACTTCTTCTGTAGGGTGCACTTATATTTGGGCCAGCTGATAGACTTGCCCCCTGGCACAGAGCATGACTTGCCATGGTACCCACCTTTGTGTAACATTGCCAACTGTGGCACGGGTCCGGAATCGGACTCTTACTTCCCGTCATCGCTGACAAGAGACGGTCTCCTTGATGTTCCTGGCACAGAGACCAGCCTGAAGTCACAGCTGACTAAGTATGTCACTGAGGGACGTAACATGATGGAAGCGGAGATTGGGCAGCGGATTCTCACTGCCATCAACAAGGTAACAGATCACTGATTATTTGTCTTGAGTTACCACTGCTTTGCAGTGGTCATGTTCATAATGTCACTGGCTGATGAATGTATATAACCTTGTTCCAGAGGGTTGGTCCGAGCTGGCTCTTGCGGACCCTGGCTTCTTTGTACTGGCGTGTGCGTGGAAATTCCCGCAATGCAATGGACTGTCTCCGCATGGCTCTCACTTCAGTTCCGAAGGAGTTTCGTGATGTGGTGTTGGTGTCTTTGGGCTCTTTACTATATAAGCTAGGATATCTTGATGAAGCACTGAAAGCTGCATCAGAAGCACTAGCTAAAAATTCTGTGGAGGTGAGAAACTTGAAGACAAGGATGTTATAATTAATATTGTAAATAATTTCATGCAGTTTCCTGTGTCTCTTGAACTTGTCTTCCCAGCTGAATTTCACAATGAAAGCTGATATCTGGAACATTTCATTAATCTTATATCTTTGGTGATTTGTAAGAATGTCAAAGTCAGTTAGAATTGCATTTCTGTCACTGGAAGAAAATGTGCCTTCTGTTGGAGATGTTTTTACCTGACAGGTTCCACTGTTCCAGAAAGTGGAAAATAATATATGACTTGGTAAACATTTGAGACTAGAAGATAGTAGTTTTTTTTGTTTTACAATTTTCTTGCATATATAAATCATAAAATGTCCATTACTTAATGCAGTAATGATGTCTCATCATTCTGTATATAATATTTGTGTGAGTTACGTAATTTTCACTCATTCTCAGGGTTTTTTATGCCATATGCTTCAGAGATGGTTCAGTTTTTCAATTTCGGATTTTTTTTCTTAAATCCCGGCACCTACATTTGAGGAAGTGGCATCAAGACAGTTTCCTTTGTGCTTAATTATGTTTTCCAGAGTTGCTGTATCTCTGATTATTGTCTTTAAATTATTGGTAAATTCATTTCCTATTAAGAGATTGTCACCTTCTGTAACCTAACCTAAACTTCATCGTGTGGAAGTTTGACAGTAACTTCCTGTGGTTGACAGCCAGCGACACATTTCCTGTTGGCGTCTGTTCTGGAAGGAAAGGGTAACCATACAGGAGCCATACATCACTTGAAGCAGGTCTTGACTATAGATCCAGATTTTTTAGAGGATGGTCACGTAGAGAAATATCTGCTGGCAGTCTCGTGTCAGCTGAAGTTTAGTACTGGTGTTTGCATTCCTCCTACACAGGACAGCCCCGAGGTGAGTGTTTTTGCTGCATGTCATTATGAAAAGACTTGCTAGAGGCTTTGAAAAATTTTGTGGAGGAAAATAAAATAACAATGTATAATCATGAATTTTAAGTTTTATGTCTTTATGCTCCATATTGTTTTCTAGTGCTGGTGAATATCATCACAAATTTCCATTGAACCTGTTCAGCGTACTCATCAGAACTTCAAGACACCTCCACCACCAGACCATATTGTCCTCTGCTAACAAATATATTTTTAAGTGAACGTTTAACATTTGTATGAAATAACAGGGATTGTGAAGCTTAATGTCCTGATACTTATAATGTTTATCCTTCATCTGCTGTACACATGCCCTTGTTCAACATTTGCTATAGCGTTTTATGCTTGTTCACATCAACATTTTGACACACTACGTTAATACCGATTCTGGTAATCAGAATAAATTATATAAATGTCTCTTTCTGGCACTATATTTTAATATATTAAGTGAGATAGGGATACATAACATCTCCATATTTTACGACATTAGTCATGGTAGAGAACTGCTTTACCAGGTGCACAAAAAGATATTTTGATCAGTGTGTTGTTTACTCGTATGTACTGTTGCATGTCTAGGACATGTGTGGGGCCAGCAGTGGGATACAAGCAGCCAAGCAGTTTGGTGTGGAGGGACTGGAGGAGGGAGAGGTGGTCGTTTGCAGTCCAGACGGGGAGCAGTGCCACGCTGTTAAGTGCTTTTCAGCCAGTGATGACACTGGTACGAATTTTATAATTTTCAAGATGTTATCACATTCCATAGGAAAATTATGAATTTGATATTTCTTAAACTTTTGTTGTTCTTTGCTTCTTATCACACATTATAGCAAGAAAACAGTTCTTACCCCCATCAGGTCTCATCTTGTCATATCCTGAGCTCACAGTCATGCCCTCCCAAATTTGGAAACGTTCACTCAGAATTCAGACTTGTCTTCATTGCTGTACTGTCGAACCCTTATCATACAGATGTGAAACGGCATGTACCTGAATCAAGGATTTACGCCTTGCCTTGTTGCAGTAGGTATTGAGTGCGCTATTACAATTAATCATCTTACTTAAAAAATATTAGTGGGATTTTTGCGAGTTAATGTTATTTGATGGACACAGTGTACATGCATGATTTCCACAGTGTTTAGGTCATTCCATCACTGACTAGGATCTAGGTTTCTGACTGAATATTATATATTTAACTTCCAAATTCACGCAGCATACGCGTTGATGAATGCTGATATTCCAGCATTTTTTTGGTTTATACAGGTAGAATTGTGACTCTTGAGCCAGCTGCAGTATCGCAGATTTTGGCTCTCGATACAGAAGGTCAGTGTGGAGGCAGGCATGGACTGCTGAGTGATGTTATTGCTTTCAAGATAAGCAGCAATGAGAAGGGTGCAGACCCTCCTGCTGCAGCAGCTGAGAAGCTGGATGAAACGGAACTGGAACATATGAATGATATTAGTGCTGTTCCCACAGTGAGTCCTCGCCATGAGGTAATCAAATTTGTCCAAACTTCAAAACCTAGAGACATTTGTTGAAGTATCTAGTTATATCAAATCATAATATTTGTTATTGTTATGTACGTAAATTTTTGTCTTGGTGGTTGAGGTATAGTGCAGAATAATTTGGCCTAGACAGGCATGACATTTGAACGAGATACATCCTACGGCATGTACCATATCAGTGGATGCAATTTACAACATGGTTCAGCATGATCTCACATTTTAACAAGGTTCTTCTATATTTTAAAAGCATCTGATTGTGATGTGCTGTGCATTTTAAGCGCCCTTTACTTCAGCAAATTAATTCTGTTGACATTTGTTTATGATTCCAAGACAGTATGTGTCTGAGTAAATCATATGTTTGTCTTTACAGAGATGTGTTCTTTCTGCCATATACACAGATTAATTTCTGAGAGTGGGAAGTCAATTTTTAACATTTTTTTCAGGAATTCCATCTTCAAATTTCGCAGGGTGAAGCAGCCTCTCCTCGAAATTCCGAACCACGTGGAGATTTCTACGGTATGTTGATCTTTCATATCATACTATGTGGTAGAAGTGGGTCTTTTTTGTGATAGGAAATGATACTCATTAAAGACGTTAGATTACATTCGTCCATTTTAAAAAAATAAGAATTTGTTATTTAACTGAGTCAACTCCATTTGTTATGCAAATTTATCATAACAGGTATTGTGTGTTAGACCATTTTAAGTGCTGTATAAACCATTTAAAATATTTGCTCATTACTCAAGTTAAAGTGAAAGGCCAGGATGAATTTTTAAAAGGATAAGAACAAAGCACTTGGCAGTAAGAGACCTTGATAATTTCATGAGCGCAGATATTGCTCGTTTAAACATGGTCAGGGTGTTCTGGAGACACAGTGGTAAGTTCTCTGCGTGTGCATGCACGTACTCAGGTACTGTCAAACCCCAAAGATGTAGTTCATATGACTGCACTGCATCAGTGACCAAATTACTACTGCTTGGTCACACTTCCAGTGTCTCTGAGAGATGAACCTGCGCCAGATACTTCGTTTCACGTGTATGACAGGAGTGGGGCTTACGCAGTTTCACTTGACGAGTGCGACCATATCCGCAGTATTGACTGGGACAAACTAGCTGCTGCATGGTTCAGTGCATCTGTGAGGCATATCCGGTGAGTTATTACTGCGTGTTTTCTGAGACAATTCTTGAGTGAACGTTGTGCACGTATAATTTTTTGTTTGATGTGTGTTACAGGCTTGATTCACATTTGCCAACCGCTCAGCGGGAGACGCTACAGCCCCACTGTTGCATGTCAGTCAATCCATCGCCAGTTATAACAGACCACATACCTGCCATCCGATTGCGCTATCGGCTCCATTTAAGTCCAGATCCCAGGGCAGCCCAGTGGCTTGGCGTCTTAGCTGGCGATGAGAACAGTTCCACAGAGGAACTGGGCACACGAATAGCACTTGCTTTGCAAGAGGTACAGTATATGAAGTATTACTGTGGAGAATCATTTGAGAAAAGGGGATTTTAATTCCTTTAGTATGAGGTTGTCAGCCTGTCTTTAACTCTGGGGTTTAAGAGTTCGGGCGTATGCTACTGTGCAAACAGCCGGCTTGACTGCACACGTGCCACGATGCATGGCTGATTGAGGTTGATAGTGTCAGACTCATCACTATTTTTTATTCAAGTATTTGTTTCTCGTCCGGGCTACACAACTTCCGAGCCACAGAATTGTTTGTCTTTTTATGAATTTTTTAAAGATTAAATATGTTAAATTAAAATTTCTTCACAGTATGTTGATCGTAAGACGAGGCTTAGCCATTAAAACCGTGTTATATCTCTATGGTTAGAATGCCACGTCGTGGGTGCTAGCAACAGCTGCAGCACTGTACTGGCAAGTCATCGGTCAAGGAGATCATGCCGTCACGTGCCTGCAGCAGGCCCTTCAGCAAGCCCCCAGCCCCGTGCAAGACATTCCACTTATTAGCCTGGCCACCTTGTTTCACAGGTAACACAGAGGAAAGGTGCATTTATTTGCATTTTATTTAATGTTGTTCTCAGTAGCTGCAGGCCAGGATTTGAACCTGGGACCTACCAAATACAAAGCAGGAGTGCTAACCATTGTCATTATAATGACAGGATGGGGGTACAGTGAACTGTTGAAACATCTTGCATATGAAATGTGTGTCACGCTGTCAAATATAATTATAGATTAATGATGCTGTGCTGCTGTGTTGATGTTCCAGGGCTGGTTATTACAGTGATGCACTGATGGTAGCTAACCTGGCACTTGAGCTGGTGCCAGAGTTTGAAGTGACACACTTTACAATTGCCAATATCCACACTTCCATCGTAAGTATTTCACCAGATGCTATTGTTTTCAGTATATTCAGTGGAGCTTTTCCTTTTATTCTCTTTATTTTACTTTGGTTGACAATTTATGGTCGTGCCATACCAACGTGTGTTGCAGATTTTTGCTCGTTATTTGTTATAATTTGTAACATTTAGAAACGAATAGGTTTCGAGGTTCTCACTGTCACAAGTATAAAAATGGCTGTCTTCTGGGTTGTAGCGCCATGTAGTCTGGTACAATTTTTACCTTGGTAACATTTCACAGGTACTTGCTGCCTCCATCATCAAGGCAATGAATCCACTCATCACTTACACTTTTCTGTAATTATAAACTTGTTCAGTTACTCTTATATTTTAATCTTGCAGGGTGATCTAGAGAAGGCAATCACATTTTATGGATCATCTTTAGCCCTGCGACCTGGTTTTGAACCTGCACGAAGACGTTTGCAATCCGTGCTGTGTTCATTGCATTTTGACAGTCACACTGTGAAGACTGGTCCATAAGACCAAGGAGAGTTGGTCTTGCATTCTCAACAGATTAAGGATTGGATGCTCCAAAGCTCTGAGTCTGTACACCATTAAATCAGTCACTGCTTTCACATCAGTAAATGTAAAAAACATAAAATATTCTGGAAATGTAATAACAATTAAAATGTAAAACTAATCCTGAAAAATATTGTCACTTGTTCCTGAATGTGAATATTGCATTCCTATTGGTGTTTGTTTATAAAATCTATGGGCTGTAGAGAAATTAAGTGAACACTATAGAAATGAGAAGAGATTGAAATTGCTAAGAGTAGATGACTCAGTTGGAAGAGCAGAAATAGGGGTCGAGGAAAGATGCGTGATTCTGTGAAGTAGTTTCAGGTTCCTCAGTGAGACAGTCTGTTGTCAGCATGACCTGCATGTGAAAGGAAACTTTGGTATCAAGAGGTGCAACCAAAACCATGTTCATGAAGGATAAGCTGCAGTTTGACGGTACAGGTAGAAATTTGCTAATGTCCTCGTGTTTCTTAATCGTTGTATTTGCAAGTGCTGTTCCTCCACAGGCAGTTTGATCCATAAATGGGAGTGACATTTTGATGGAGAGGGCTGACTGTGTCAGTGTTGTATGTTATTTTGCCAAATCACACTTCTGAATTTTGAAGCTTGTTCATCCTTCAAAAAACGTATTTTTGTTTCTGCTTACATAAGCATTGAAGTTAAAATGGTTGTCAGTTCCAATGTCCATGTAATAAGAAGTAAAATATAAATATGTGGCATTATAATATGGCTTTTAATCATAAGATACCAGTCTTTGTAGTCCCCATGGTGCTAGTATTGTTCCATCTGCATACTGTGTGGTTCAGTACACGCTGATAAATGGAGTGAATATTTCACGACATAGTATTTTTTGAGTTATTAATCTGACTGCTAGCGTCAGCTGTAAATGGGAAGTAGGAAGTGAGATTTGAGGTTCCAGGACTGGTGAGTATGAGGATTGCTGTTTTTTGTAATGTTGCGTTACAATCGTTTCTCTTCCATGTTTGTTTACTATGAGTGGCAACTGTTGATAAGCCTGACATCTGTCGGTAGAACTAAAATGCAGGCTTATATACAGAAGACGCAACGACCAATCACGAACAGAGTCGTTGCATCGAGTGGGGAGTATAAAGCTGCTTGTCTGCCTGTAATTCATCAGCATCGTTTTTAAAATTGCAAGTATTTATAATTTCATATTAATGCACACAAATTAAATGGAGCAAACGTTTTACAATAATAAAAATGTCAACTTAAATTGTACAATTACCAGGGCAAAATAGCATAATTACTCTTTATGATATCCATTAATATGGACGATCACTTACAAAGTTTATTTGGTATTTTGGCGCAATTTTATAATGAGACGAAACCTTACACATGTGAAATATTTTAAAGTAAGCTTATTTGAAAGTTCTCTAGGATTTGTTTGACAAATTTAAACTCATATGAAATATATTGTTGACCAGCAAATGTGCAACCCATATTTAGGTTTATAAACTGACGTCAAGCATTAATTGTCCAAGTTAGTAGACATTTTGTTTTTCCGAGATTTTGTACAGTGGCGCTATCATGAATATTCAAACTAATCTGAATTATCGATAATCGATGCGTTCTGTGAAGTTCGTAGCCTAATCACTTTTTTAAATGTATTTTTATCATCAGAAGTTTGGGGTTAGCTTTATTGTTGACCATAAATAGCATAAGCCACGTTTACGATATAGTCTACAAATTATAAATTCATTGCCTCCGTAGTAAAATTGTAGCCATTTTGAGCCTTATTTTATCGTTGAATGCCATTTGTATTTCCGGTATAGGCGTGCCTATTTTACTTCAGCAATAAAAAATCTAGGGCGTACAACTTAGACTAATTTTAATGTAAATAGTTGTAATAATATGTGCAGATGTTTAAATAATTCTTATAAGATAACTGTTTAGTGGCTGAATATCTTTCTATTCGGCTATTAGCATAATGAATAGAACTAGAGTAGCCAGTGTTAAACAAATATCTTGCTGGCATACAGAAATTGCCATTTGACAGTCACATGATCCAAAACCACCCTTCTTACATTATTTTGACTTGTCGATGACAACACGTTAAATGGTATTTTCAGTGTTTTTTCTCTATAGATTTTTAAGCTATCCTGACTGAAAGTTTTCATGGGTTTGCTCAGACGTTTCGGGACAGCATCCTTCCAACATACTTTTGTATCATCCTATCATATCGCTTCCCATTGATTGCACGTCAATCTTTGCCAGAGATTAAACTGTGGTGATCATTCCGTAACTTCTGAGTGTAATCTTTCATTGTGCGCTTGTTTGCAACGACTCTGAGTGTTTGTGATACAGTGCTGTGCCATTTCCTTGGATTTTGTCGACGTTCCAGTGGAAACAGCAGCGTCTATCCGAGGCAGACATCGAACCAGGGACCATGGC